TGTTGTGAGGCACGTGTGTTATATTTCCGCGTTATTCGTTGCTTTGCTAGACAAGGAAATAGAAAGTTTGTAGGATATGCATGCGGGCCATTCCAAGCCCCCTGGATTTTAATTAAATTCGGCGAGCAACGATCCTTGAGCGGTGAGCTGTACCCAGTTTTGGACCCTTAGGTATAGCGAAGAGCTTTTTATTTCATATTTTAATTTCTGCAGAACGTCATTTATGGCGCGACTTAACCTTCTTAACTGACAATTCTTCTAATTGAGAAGTAATACTCAAATTAGTCTCATTTTAAATAAAATTTAATAACATTTCCTGACATACTACGCATGTAGTTTAGAGGTAACTTTTCAAGGTAATCTGAATTGACCTCGATACGTCTCACGAAGCCCAGACACACCACAAGCCAGATAGTTATGGCGTCATGTGGTGAAAATTAAGGTAGTTTTGCTTTAAATGTTTCACGAAAAATAGTTTTTAAAAAGTTTCTAGGGTTAAATTTAACCGTTTCTCATTGCACGTTCAAATGCATGTTGATTAAATGTTACGAAACTATTGTCCGCACGGCAGGTATAAAATTCGCGATAGTAACCACCTCTCCACATTTTACGAAATCAGAGGCGGGACTAATCGTGGTCTGTGTCGTTAGGTTGAAATGGGATGACGATAGGCAACAGAACACACTCTTGTATATTGTTTTTAGGCAGGCCTGTGGCAAGCGCGTTGAATATTTTTTGAAAGATTGTCTTTTTAAAAAAAATCATTAGTGTTAACTCAAACCTTATGTGAATGTAATTACATACACATTTGGTAGGCATATGATGAAATTGTATTCTTGGGTTATTAATTTCACTAAAGTTTTTGAAGAGAGGTTTCTCCGAGCTAAGCGGTCTGAAAAGGAAGGATTTGGGACAGAGACCCAGCAGGGCTGAAGACTGAAGGCCTCCTGAAGAGGCGAGCCGTCTGGCATTGTATAGGGCCTGTATCATTGACTGCACAAGAGATGTTGTTGACACACTGCACACCTTTACGCAGATCGGGTCAGGATTTCTAGGCACTAGATTGTCGTCTTGTATGCCATTTTGACGAAAATATTGTCCTCTGTTATGGTCCATGTTTCGGGATCCATTCGGGAGTTCCCAGCCGAAAAACCTGGTATCTGTACCTCGAAGATTGCTGTATTCTGGGTTGTTGCTCCGTGTAGTCTGGTAAATCGCCCTGTTGATGGAGGCAGCTAGGACCTCTGAAACGTCGTTAACATTTACCAAACTACACGGCGCCTGCCTACTAACATTTTCAGACACTTGTTCTCAGTACTCCCGAACAAATTCCTATTTGATAACTTTGACTTGACAAAATGTGCTGCTGCGAGCCACACAGTTAACTTAACCCTTTTTTCCTTTTGGGTAGTACGTGAAGTTGCTGGCAAACGCGCTGTTTAAAAAAAATTGCGCGCGCACTCCAGGTCGTGTACAAAAAGAACTCGAGCAGCATTTTACTGCAACAATTAACGTCAGTTATTTAATAATTATTCATCAATATCACCCTCAAAGTCGTCGCTCCAGAGAATAACATAATTGCTATTTTATTCTTTATAAAATTAGGAACAGTGGCTATGAAATGACACCAGTTTGAAGAACAAGGTTACGAAGCTGTAACAGCATTTTTCCTTGCCCGACTTTGTTCACTTCGCTTCTCATCTTACCGGGAATGTCGTATACATAGGAGTCCACCCCATAAGGCCATCATGGACATCTTAAGTCTCGCCTGTAGGGATGCATATTTGTAGAGTTATCGAATGAGGTGATTGTTTTGTTGTGGCCCTCGTAAAAGCAGTACCCCCCTCCCTCAGCGACTCATTGTTTGCTCGCAGAAACAGCTTAACCTGTCGCACAGTTTTCAGCATTTGATAAGAACAATTATTCTGGCTGCTGTTTGTGTCACAAGTAATTGTTGCTGTCTTGTCATTACCTATGGTGAGCTGTTTTCTATAATTCGTGTAAAAGTTATGGTATAATCATACAGCTCATTCATTAAGTGGTTATATCCAAATTCGGTACATTCTACGAAGACTGGAAACGAATGAAAGCTGCAAGAAATGAAAACTTGCGTGGCACCAAAAAGAACATTGGCGCATCAGCTGTGCTACCACATGGTCGCTAAGTATTTCTGTAGTTTGGAAACTGGGACGAGCTTCCTTTTGGTTTCTCAGAAGAGGCCGTAGCGGTGCTGATGGCGTGGATTAAGATGACCTTGACCTTCGGTCCGAACTTCACCACGTGCTGCTCCCTCACTGCTGTGTCTTGTTATTCGGAGCATTTTGCCAGTGTCACGAAAGATACAGGGATATTCGGATTATCTTGTTCATCAAGATTTGTTTAGATGTAACTACGGAGGGTTTCATCTAACATCTTTAAATGAAGATTAAGAAAAGTGTCGCGAAGAAATTGAACACTTCCGACTACAGTAAATTGTACTCGTCGAGAGCGACATGATGCTTGACCTTGGCGATGCGCAGAAGTCAGCGCGCTGCTACCTCAAGCCGTCTCGTCATCCCTGGCATCGTGTCATTCATTCCGAATGTCTGTATGCTATGTTCGTCGTTCCACGTTCCACCGAAACTTGGCCATCGCAACGGACGGTGTTTTTGATGTCACGTTACTGCACGCCTTTCTTTCATTAGCTTTTCCCAAAATTGCCTATTTTAAGGGTTTTTGTGCTTGATGAAAAACCACTAAAGGTTTCATTTGAACACTTCACGCTGCTTGTGTAACAGAAATTGTCATACTTGTGTCAGAATACAAGTTTAGCCATTGATTACGATTTTTTAAAATATTTTATCTGGCCCATAATTCAGCATTAAATCACGTCGCCTACATGTTGCCTTTGCTTGCATTACTCTGTCGTGTCGTGTCGTGTCGTGTCGTGTCGTGTCGTGTGATTTTTAGTTTGTTTTCACTTCCTAGCAACGAAATTAAACATTTTGTTCTAATTCCTGTAATGCATGATTCCAAGAAATCGGTGTGGAACACCTTGATATTGATAAATGTATTTGTATAAACTGACAGTACTCCTTTTTCGCTTTAGTTCTCTCCAAAATGACTGCCTAATGTAGCATGGTTTCTAACCACTTACAAGACCACATAGCTTCATAGCCCAAAATACCACGATATACATATACACCGCTATGAGAACCTCACACACTGTTCAAATTTCTCCACAAAGGGTCATGACCCTACCAGTTATACACGTTCATTGTTTTTCCATGTTTTCGCAAATGTTCGTATTCCCGCGCGGAGAGTTGGTTGGTCAAATTTTCGACCAATCAGCTTGACAGTTTCACAATGACGTGTAAGCTGGTGACGTAATGGATTTTTTTCTCCGCTTCCCCCCTCCGTCTCACGCACTCGTTGCTCTCTTCTCTCCCACCGCTCATCCACGGGAGAGTGGGAGAGAAGAGAGAAAAAGGTTTTTAGCTTGCGTTGTGCCTCAACTGAAAAGTGGACATATTTGTAAGCTTACATGGAGAGTGGCTTGTGTAGTGCACGACGTTATTTCCCCAGAATTGACCATAATTTGATGGTCTGTGTTGTCTTGTTGCATTTGGAGGTTATAACCCATGTTCGACGTGGTATGTTGGCCTATGTGTGAAAGCAAAAGGTTGTGCGTGCACGCGTCTGTTGGTTTTGAATTTTTTGGAACGTTTTGTCCGGTAGCCAGTATGTGTGTGTGCGTGTGACGTGTCTGTTTGCTAGAGTTTCGCACGTCCGACTGGTGCCGTATTAGTAGAAAACAATTTTTAAGTAACAAAGTAAAATGTTCAGCTAAAAAAATTGCATTACATGAGATTCTGGGAACCGAATGAACCTGGTGAGCTGATAATTTTTATCCAGATCAATAAAAGTTGACGTCCTGCAGCTTCCTGTGTGCGGACTGCACCAGAATTTTACAGCGTACAATTAAGTGCTCGTATGTTTTCTTTTGCATGTGCTAAATAGGTGATGAAAATAGGCTGATTAATAAATCGCCATTTTTACATGGTGGATTTTTTCACATACCGGCTTGTATTGCTGAGTCACGAATGTGCATTCTTATAGTGTTTGCTGATGTGGACTTGCGTGTCAAACTACACCGAATACGAGCGATTCCAAGAAGACGATCAATTTAAAAAATGAAGCGAAAAGAAGTAACTTCGGGAAATAGCGTGGCGGCAGTATGAATTGAATGCAATCAGGGGCTGGGGGTGAGACGATGCATGGGGTTGATGAACTGAGAAAGCGTAGATAGCTTGTTTATTAGACACCCCCTTTTTTCAACACTTGGGGGGGAAGAAGTGCCTGCTGTTTTAACACTGTCGAATTTTTTGAAGGGGCCAGGTGGAGGCAGGCTAACATGAGCAATTGGTGTCACATACATGCCTGTCTTCAGCATTATTTATAAAAAGACCCTAATTTTCTGTAGATTTTTACCAAATTCTTCTGAATATTTTGGCTTCTGAGAAAATATGTATTAGGTTCTTCTACCACAAAAGTGGCTTCTCCTACATATTTAAAGGACAGTGCACGAATCTAGTTTACATCAACCCAGTTTTACACAATATGAAAACAAAATAGAAATTATTTATTCAGTCCTTCCTAGTTTTAGTGAAAAAATTTTATTGCCAAAATTGTACAAAGTAAAGTGAGTGGAAATTATGGAGTGAATCCTTGGGGTGACATCTGAAACTTTCCTCAAGTTAGCAAGTATGCTGTGTGATAGCAACATTTTCCACATGTTCCATTAAAGAAATTAGCATTAATTTACAGTAGCCAATTTGTGTTGTAGTGTCTACCATTTTTAAAGTGTTTTGAGGTAATAGATTGTGATGTATGTCTGATATGTGACTGGAGTACATGTGATAGTTCATCTATGATTGGAAGTGCCCCAAAAAATGTTTTCATTTTGAATGCAAATTGTCAGAAAGAATGCAGAGTTTAATTAATTTAATTTTTGTCTGCAGTGTGGGTGGTAAAATACTGTTGAGCAACCTCCCATTGCATGTGAGGTTTGAGGACTTGGAGCCGTTGCTGACTCCATTTGGTTCCGTCCAAAACTGTGAGAAGCTGAACTCACGAGATGGCTCCACACAAACTGTGCAAGTCAGCTATGAAACTCAGGAGCAAGCACAACAGTGAGTATGATTCTGGAAGATACATTTTGGTGGTTGGTAGAGGGAATTCAAATTTTGTAATTTAGAACTTTCCTTGGAGGATGACGGTCAGCTTTAATGGCATCTGAATGAATTATTTTGCAAGGATTGCAACTACATATTTAACACAATTGATTTCCCAAGATGACTTCATGTTCATGCTGACTGTATTGTAACGTTATTTTATTCTATCAAATTATACTTAAGTGTGATGTGGAAATCATACCTAATATGAACAAAACAGGATTAAACAAGTGCTTCATAAATTAATTCTCCAGAAAAGTGTGAGAAATGAAAACTATATGATTTGTAGGAAAATGTGAGACTTATTCCAGTGCATAATTATTTCTTTGTATGCTGAACCATAATAGGTGTTTGACGTTAACTGCTTAGATTGTGAAAATTGACATAGCTTTTGCATCTCTATATTACAGGGCTGTGAATGAGCTGAATGGTTATGTATACGAGGGCAGTTCTCTGAAGGTGGAATTTTCAATGGATCGTCGAATCAGGGGTCGTGGGGGCTCAAGAGGAGGTGCTGGTGCTGGTTTTGCTGGCCTGCCAGGCTCAGGCCGCCAAACTGATTTTCCACTCCGCATTCTGGTGCAGAGTGACATGGTGGGAGCGATCATTGGTCGTCAGGGTAGCACTATTCGGCAAATTACTCAGCAGACAAGAGCGAGGTTGGTGTTCAGACAGCATGGCTCATTTGTGTTAAGCAATAAAAGGATATTTTTCCAAGCTCTGTGATTATAGTAAAAAATTGAAGTGAGAAGACATATTCAAGCTGCAATTTCATGTTTAAAAATTTAAACCTTCCAAATATTGTTTCATAAAACATGTTCATTATAGACGCTGAATGTCGTTTGGACCTCTCAAACTTAATTTATAATTAAAGATGTTTATTAGTGTATATACACCATTTTTATGTCCATGAAACTACCATTGCAATCTGTTTGAATGTGCTGTAAGTGAGCACCAAACCGCCACGGTGGTCTAGCTGTTAGAATGCTGGGCCTGTAGTACTGGGGTCCCGGGTTTGATTCCCGGCGGTGCTCAGATTTACAACTTGTGTTGGGCATAGCCGTGGTCCAGGCATCATGGAGTTTTCCTCCGGGGTTTCTCCGTATCATCCCAACAATTACTCCACTTTCATCATCTCACAAAAAGGGAGGCACAGCAGGAGCGTTAAATGTCACGGTCCCGGTCGAACCCATGTACTGATGGGTCGTGAATCCTGCTAACCACCAATGCACACCATGCTGAATGGTGTGAACTGGACATGGAAAAAAAAGTGAGCACCAGAAATGTTTACAAGCCTTGGCCCACCCAGCTTCACATGCCACCATGTCTAGACCAGCTGAGTCAACCTAGCCTCTATCCATTGGGTCTGATGGTTCATTATCTGGGTTTAAAGTGATCCAGTGGACATCTGTAGGGTCAATGCCTATATCTCCACACCCCCTCATGTGTTCAGGATATGGTGCTCTGCTTTTACTGCCTCATGACCTTTAAAGATCATTGCTTCTATTCTAGAGTGGATGTGCACCGGAAAGATAATGTGGGGTCCTTGGAAAAGGCCATTACCATCTTCGGCAACCCAGACAACTGCACCAATGCTTGTCGGAGAATCTTGGAGGTGATGCAGCAGGAAGCCAATAACACCAACAAAGGGTAAGGGTGTCTTGTGAATACCAGATATATTTTTTAATAATACATTAAAATGCTTTTTGCCATTAATTTCACTCCCACTCATTGGTTTCAGTGTTTTGAGTCATCAACTCCATATTTATGGGTTTCATACGATTCTTAGTTTACGTAATTTCTGCAGACAAGTGTTTGGATTGGCATTAAGTCGCCTACGTTGAGATTACTTCAACTTGGTGTGCGACAGAGTAGTTTACGTTGTACTGCTTTATTAGCAAGCTTTTAAACAGCAGAAAATTACATATATGGAGTTAATTACCTTTGTTGATTTCATATTCACCGTGTTTTACAAATATGTGGTATTGAGACGTACTTGGGAATTTTAACCAGTCTGCCGTCATGTTTGTGTGGTGTTTTAAACCAAAATATGAAATAAGTTTTAAACTAACCGAATTAACATGATATAAAATTTGTAATTACAGAGAAATATCACTCAAGATTCTTGCTCATAACAACTTGATTGGTCGAATTATTGGCAAAGGTGGCAATACAATCAAACGTATCATGCAGGACACTGACACCAAAATAACTGTTTCCAGGTAAGTTTATGTAAGTAAGATAAGTTTATACGATGTTTCTTGTGAAATAATGTTAGTATTTCGAATGAGTTTATTCAAAGCATCAAGAAAGAATGGCAGAACACTTTGCAACTAAAAATAACAACTGACGCTTCTTTTTAGTGTTTTTTTTATGTGAGCTCTGTTAGTATTTTGTCATAGATTTTATGTGTAACTTTGGTCTCATTGTTCCTGCACATGACGATAAGTGCGCAATCAGTTTGAAGAGACTACAGGATATGTGGACCTCTGATGAAGCACATTCCCTCCTAGTTGGGCTTTCCTCACATGGACAGTAGTAGAATGCTTTGGTAAAATTGTCACTTTAGCGCTTTTAACAGGAGATAGCAGAATGTGTTTTACTCGGTGTTACTTTGAATTTGCTGTACTATGATGACGGAAGAAGTATAAAATGTTATTAGTAGGAGAAAAAAATGTTTTCTGCCAGAATCATCAGATTGTCATTGAAAAGGGAGGATATTCAGAAATACAAGTATGAGTGGTAATGTGATGCGTTAGAAACAAGCATATGCCAAAATAGGGAACCCAAATTAAAGATAAAGTTAAGGTTTTGTTGCTCCAGTTTATAATATCAGTAAATATTTAAATTTGAAATTACTTGCATTTTATTATTAAAATCTTTTATAATTGAATATTTATTTGTGGAGTTTATTAGAGTTGAAGTCATCGTTGATTCAATGGAATCTGGAATTTTGCTTTTTATCAACCTGCTTATTTAAAACTTATTTAATTTATATTCAGCCAGTGTATAAAGTCTTTTGTGTACTTCAGAATTTCTCAGGTATTGTTTGAAAGTGAAATGACATTCAAATTCAAAATTGCATAATTTCATTTGAATATGTTTTTGTGGAGACCGTGATATGCCTGAAAGTATTACGTGATTTACAAACTGACGCAAGGACAGAGATACTGCATTACTGCACTTTGTGGATGCCATGTTGTGTAGCTGCCATGTTTTCTTTAAAGTTCACGCCAACACTTTAAATAGAGCCGGGATAGCCGTCAATATCGTGACTAGCGACAGGTTGGATAACTGGGGTTCGATCCCCAATGAGGGTGAAGGATTTTTCCTCTAGCCTGTGTCCAGACTGGCTCTGGGGCCCACACAGTCTCCTATCCAATGAATACCAGGGTCCTTTCCCGGGGGTAAAGTGAAGTCAGGGCATGATGCTGACCACTCACTCCCATCTAGTGCTGAGGTCAAGAATAAGTAGGACCTTAAAAACCCCCTCCCATCCCCATCACACCAAGATCCACATGGCATGTAGCAGGACTGCTTTACTTATTTGAGTATTCGTACATTGAGTAGTGTTTAATACATAGTGTGTAATACATTTTGTAATCCAACACTTGTATGGGATATGTATGTTACCTGAATAAGTATCTTGGATTCGATTCCCGGCGGTGCCCGAATTTATAACTTGTGTTGTGCATGACCGTGGTCTCGGCAACACGGAGTTTTCCGGTTTCTCCGTGGCATCCCAACAATTACTCCAATCACACACAGAAGAAGGCAATGGCAAACCACTTCTGGATCATCTGCCAAGAACGTATATGAACAGGTCCCAGTCCGAGAAAAGGATGGAAAGATCCTGTTCATACGGACCTGTCGTCAGACAGAACACTAAAAAAAATAATAAGGAATGAGTAAAATAAATGAATATCCTTGAAACTAGTTTCTGTAGATCAGTAGTCCCCAACCTTTTTGAGCCCTACGGGCACATTTGAGAGTTTATGAGATCGTGGCGGGCACCAACCAATTAACAAAGCCAAATTTTCTTTTCTCTGGACAAATAAGTTATGGACACCAAATAATACACAAAACAACACGACTTTTAATGATACAAGAAACCATGCAATCAAAAATACGTACTTTTATAAGTACAATTATTATTACTCAAGTGGGAAGTTGGTGTGATGTTTGGTGCTGCATTTCATCGGCCAGTTTTTCAAATTTGGGAGTGTAGGATGATGTTGCTGCTCGTGGACAATCGTGAAGGTGGGCGTCAGTAAGTCGAGATCTGCGCTTTGATTTTATAATGTTTCGTGGTTGAACGGCCTTCATTATTCAGTATAACCTCTTTCTGTAACAACACGGGCACCCAACCGCGTTGGGGACCACTGCTGTAGATGATACTGTGAACACACGTTTTCGGGTTTTGGGGTGATGATTTCTTCCTTTGATATTGATCTATATGTATAAAATGATCAAGCATTTGGTAAGCATCTGTTTTTGATATACTGTTACAGAAATGTAAGCAGTTGTTGAATTTCTCTGCACTAACACTGCAGGTGCTGTGCTAGTACGTATATCAGAGGTGGATGATTATTATTGTTACAGCATCAATGACATCAACAGCTTTAATCTGGAGAGGATAATTACAGTGAAAGGCTCTATAGAAAACATGTCGAAGGCAGAAGGAATGATCAGTGCCAAGTTGCGGCAGAGCTACGAGAATGACCTGCAGGCCATGGCTGTGAGTTTCTTACCTTAGTGTGTTAAATTTTATGCTTACATGAAATGAAGTATTTGTGCGACATGCCAATTTGTTCTGCAGACTTCAGACAAGCCTGAGATACTGTGTATGTGCCCATACAGTTTTGTTGGGCCCAGAGATGGTCGTGAAAGTTAATACAGTCAAATTAATATTCCCAATATTGTATATTTAAAGGCAATACAAATTTTGCTCTTAAAGAAGACTTTGGCATTTTAAATAATGTATTCTTGTTTGACTGATAAACTGTGGTGTTAGTATCCCAGATTTCCTCGGGGAACATTTGCCAACAATTGTAAATTCAGTGCAGTAGTAACACAGAAATGTTTATTGTATAAAATATATCTTTGCCATTGTCATAACCCAATATCTTGGTTGCATTTTTTGTGCATACACTTCTTCAGTTCCATTTAATTTTATTCCTATTAAATGATGGATTGGTACTGAAACTTTCATACTGGAAAGAAAATCATATTCCATGTTGATTTGTTATGAACATTTTACTTCTGCGCAGAATTTACCATGTTTCTGGGGGACATGTCTTGCAAGTTGTTTTAGGGGGGTCTTTGCCCTGTTACTGTATGTGACATTGCCAGTGATTCATTTAAGAAATTTGCATATGTAAACAATTTTTTTACCCCATTTAAAGCTTATTTTTCTCTCTCTTTGCAATAACAAACTTTGAAACAAATTGACAGTATTTGTTCTTATGCCAAACATTCAGAAATGAATATTTAACTAAAAATACTCACGAAAGCAAAAATTGTAAATGGGTGAATGTGATGTTTTGAATATATGCTCTTACGTTACTTTTGAAGTCTACCAGTGATTGGTTATGGACAAACTTAATTCTGTGTAGTTCTAAATTCAGACACGTCTTCATGCATCTTGGTATCTTAAAATGAGGAGCTTGTGTAAATAATGTGTATCATTTCATCTGCAGATGTATTGAATTTCTGTTAGCAAGATCAGCCAGCCAACGCAGTGAAGAAAAATGAATAAATGAAATTGATAAACACACTTTAGAGTGCGTAATCTAAAAATTGTTGCTTGGATTACTTATAAGTACTCATGCAGTGGCCAGTTCAGCTTGGCAACTGGCTATCCTGGCTGGTGGTCTTTAGTGCATCCATTTCACGTGGAAGAAGAGTCATAATCATTGATTGCCCCATGTGATATTGGAATAGATAAATCGATTTTCATTTTAACACCCACCAGTTTTAATGCATGAGAAAATTTTATGTATGCTAGGTTAAAAAATTGATACTTTTCTGGGTTTTGGGAATGAAGTGACATGATTTTAGTACAATGTATTTTTCACTGTTTGCCTGTTTTTGAGCAGCCTCAAAGTATGATGTTCCCTGGGCTCCATCCAATGGCAATGATGTCTACCTCAAATATGGGCTACACATCTCGAGGTTCTGCCAGTTTCCCAGGTGGAATGTATGGAGCAGGCCCGGCCCCATACCCTTCCATGTACCAGTCATCCATCCCTGCTGCCCAGTCCAGTGGTCCTCAAGGAGGAGGAGGAGGAGGAAGTGGAGGAGGAGACACTCAGGTATGTGCTGTATGGTAATATTTGCTTGCTGTTTGAAATCGTCATATTTTGTAGACTGCTGGGAAAAGTTTATTTGAATAGATCTTGGTTTAAAGTTGCCCATGAAGAGAATATGTTACTGTACAGAAAAATTGTCTTGTTGCAGGAGACCACATTTCTGTACATCCCAAATAATGCCGTTGGTGCCATCATAGGGACAAAAGGCACACACATCCGCAACATCATTCGCTTCTCAGGAGCGTCAGTGAAGATAGCACCTCTAGAGCAGGACAAACCTCAGGACCAGCAGACAGAGAGAAAGGTGACCATTATAGGTTCACCAGAATCGCAGTGGAAGGTACTGCCAATGTTTTCTTTGTTTTGGGTTGGAACAGATGCAGCTGTGTCGTTTGTATTGCACTGTAGACATGGAACATAATTTTTAGGCATTGCAACGATTCTGATGCTGTTGTATCTAGTGGTAGATTATATGTATGGAAGTTTGTATCTCTGGCTATAACGTAGATCACATCACGTCATACATTTACAACCACCACGGTGGTCTAGCAGTCAGAACGCTGGGCTTGTAATACTGGGGACCCGGGTTCGATTCCCGGCGGTGCTCAGATTTACAACTTGTGTTGGGCAAGGCCGTGGTCCAGGCATAACGGAGTTTTCCTCCGGGGTTTCTCCGTATCATCCCAATAATTACTCCACTTTCATCATCATCATCCCACAAAAAAGGGTCACAGCAGGAGCGTTAAATGTCGCGGTCCCGATCAAACCCATGTACTGATAGGTCGTGAATCCTACTAATTACCAATGCACACCGTGCTGAATGGTGTGTACTTGACACGGAAGAAAACCTTTACAAATCTCAGCTCCATCAGTTTTTACCATAAAGCAAGACCATGTATATCAGATTAACATAAATTCTTAAAAAAATTAATGACAGATGCCTGCATTGCATGGGAGTGTATACACTATGTCGGACACACATATCTGCTGTGGACAAGAACAAGTTAATGCCTGAAAATCTTAATTCTCCATGATCACAAGATGTATCAACATTTTTACAATCAAAAAGGCATCCAAAATATCTGTACTCAGTCATATTATCTAGCTTCATGATAGTGTTCTGAGGGTGTTTGTTGGGGGGGAGTCAGGGGGGTGTAATTTTTTTGTGGTTCAACAAAACCTACCCGCAACAGTGGTGATGCATTACGGAATAACATGGTCCTGGAAGGGTTTAAGTAGGAGAAGGATTTGTGTATTTGTTTCAACCATCGTTACAAATTGAATGCTTATGAGCCTGGGTTAGAAGCAAATATTAAGTATTCAATCAACCAAGTATTTCAAATATGTGCCTTACCAGGAATTGTTTACATTGCTTGAGGTTGATGATAGTGATACTCAGTTCAACCAGTTCAGGATAGGATCTAGTGGCAGGCCGTAATAATTAACCTTGAGGTTCTGCAAAAGATGGAGTTTTCAACTAGCAGAGAACGTACTGGCCTGCCAAAGACTGATCCAGAAGTTAATTAGCCGGCTTTTCAGCCAGTCAGTTAACAGGATGTATAATTCACAGGCTCAGTACCTCATCTTTGAGAAGATGCGAGAAGAGGGATTTGTTGCTGGGGCAGATGATGTGCGCCTAACAGTGGAAATCCTGGTGCCATCAAGTCAGGTTGGGCGCATCATTGGCAAGGGTGGACAAAATGTACGTGAGCTTCAAAGAGTTACGGGTTCAATCATAAAACTGCCAGAACAGGGTGCCTCTCCCCCTTCCCAAGATGAGGAAACTACTGTTCATATCATTGGTCCCTTCTTCTCAGTCCAGGTATGCATTTTTCTTTCTTATTTTCAACATTACTTTTATTATGATATAAGGTAAGTAATCTTGGGTAATCCATTGTGCAGATAATTTTCTAGAAGAAGAATGAAATTTCTAATAGCTGGAAAAAATATGTATGCACAGTAAACAGGCGTGATAATCAATCCTTGGCATTGGCATTACATTTTCACTTTTACAGAATGTTTATTATTTCCCATTCATTGACTATATTGAATCTTTTTTTTTGTGAACTCTTCAGTATAAAACCGGTTCAGTGCAGTAACATTTACTGTGGCTGTTTGCTCCTGCTGGCCACTCTGTAGCTTAGCTTAGTGGAAAATGTACTGTTTACTTATCCAGTGAATTTTAAGTTTGGGTTATAATTACATCTTATAAATAAAATATGTCTTTAATATGTAAAAATTTCTCACTATATCCCATGTAGATGGGGGGGGGTCCAAGCTTGTTTTTAATCACTGCTAGATAGGGGTGTGGTCAGCGTCACTCCCATGCCATGCTTTGCCCCTGGGAAAGAACCACAGTACATATTTAACAGGAGGCCAGATGGGCCGCAGAGACGGAGGAAAATCATCTGCCCCTGTCGGGGATTGAGCCCCAGTCTGTTGTCAGTCATTATTTTAGTTGCATTTTTGCTATATTGTCTATTTTAAACAGCACAGAAAATAAATTGTTAGCATGGGTTTGCTTTGTAAAATGTCTGTGCAATAAGGCGTACAGAGAAAGCAGGTTGAATTATAACTTTTATATTGTCTTGTTTGCCATATAAAATATATTGTGCTTTAGTCGGCTCAGCGTCGCATCCGAGCCATGGTTCTTCAAGCCCAGCCTGTACCTGCAGGAGCACGGGGTGGTCAGAGAGGGGCACCTCCGCGCAGGGAACCACCACAGCAATAGGAGAGAAGAACTGAGTGAAGGAAGAGAGGTGGTGGTAACCACACATAGAGTTTGAAACAACGTATATACCTCAATACATTCAGAAAAAAAGCACATAACAAACTACACCCCACATTTATACCAAAGATGTGATGATGAAGAACGAAGAAACAATTTTTAAAAGATACCAATGGGAAATGAAAAATAACATCTTGAGTTCCTGATAATATTTTGTGTGAAACTTTTTTCGCATAATTCGTCCGTTAAGTACATCACTGATTGCTTTTGAACTGGCAGTTACGGATGCGTTTTAACGGGCGGATATTCTGATAAATTTTTGTGTACAAGTGTAGGCAAGAGGAACAAAGTGGAGTTCTGGTTTCGTTTTCAATTTGATGCAATGGAAGCATGGCAGGGTTTGGAAGCGGCCAGCTGTTTCTCCATTTCCCTGTCTTAATCATTACTTAAATTGATTCAGGGACTTCTTATCACACATGGATGTAATGTTCATTTTTAGAGAGAGAGAGAGAGAAAGGGATACAAAGTGATTAAGAGAAAATGAGAAGGAAGTGAGCATAATGAGAATTTTTTTAAAGAAACAAAATGAACAGTTACATTGCGAGGTTTTGGGTAAGTGACTGCGTGGCTGGTTGCACATGCGACACTTTTGCCTTCTTAACTCCTTCCCTGTCTTAATTCCATGATGGCATTAATCTAACCGCCTCCCTAATTTTTAAGGGAGGATAGAGTTGTTTATGAATGTTTTTGTCTCTTGGGGAGTCGGAAATCCCCCGGAGAAGAAAAGGGATAATTGTGTATTCGTCGTTGTATCGTCTTACTGTATGTAAAAGGAAAGGTCCACCGAACTTTCATTCAGTCAAAAATGTTGTATTTAAAAATACTATGAAGAGGAAGGGTAATATGTCGATTTTTTAAAAATAATGTGATTCAATATAAACGGTGTTTTGAGACCTCGATTTTAAGGAGGTTTCTTAATGGAGGTGAATGATAAAAATAGGCAATTTCAGGGTAGTTCCGAAATTACCATCTGTGTCGGTCACCCTGTTGTTTAGTTAGTACAAAAATTAAATTAAAAATATAAAAGAGGGCCACTATTGTTGCAAATATATTGTGGTTCTTTTTTTGCCTTTATAAACAAAGTTATTACACAAAGTTTATTTTTGATACATTGTTGGGAGAAATTTTTTTTTGTTAGATTTTTTAATATAAAATTAAAATGACATGTAGCTGTTTGGCTATGTGTTGCAGAAAAATGGAGAAGAAAACGTTAGCCGAGTGAGTGAAAGAAAAAATGGCTGCACATTATTTACATTTAAAGAATAACCAGTAACAGGCAATGTCCATATATGATGGCAGGCATGAATGTGAACATGAACAGTATCTGAACCAGCAATCGTTATCATATACTTTTTACCATCTCAAAGTAAACCCAATGTGCAAGCAGAAAACCCGCTGAGCCTCAACGTTTTTCAATTCATTCAAATTAAAACTGCCTCATGGTTTTTTTAAGTTTCTAAATTGTAAAACATTGATTTGGAGTATGCTCAGATGTCACAAAAGCTGTTTTTCACATTTTGATTCTCAAAAAGCAGTTTAGGAAAAGAGCGTGAACTTGTAATGGGAATTTATTTCTTGCAGTCCTGTTTGGATTTCTCGATTTAATGAATCATTTCAGAGGTTCACATGGATTTGGAAATATTGAAAACATAACAAAACACCATAAACCAAAACCCTCCAAGATAAAAACAAACATAGCTGATCTAAATAATAAAAAAAATTATTGTACAAATGCAAGATTGAAAATGGAACTGTTACCGACTGACACTGTAAACTTAGGTGGATTCTGACATATTACTGCAGTAAACAAAAGTACTACAGGGGAGACCTTACAAAAACATTGAACTAAGCATAATAGAGGTACGATAAATGGGACTACACACAACTGTGTAATCATTCAGAAATTTTTTGTTAGGAGGTGAAATTAAACTATCCTATAAAACGTCAAGCACACTTGCAACAAAAAATAAATAAAAATATAAGCATAGCATTTGGTTTGAAAGTTTCTTGCTGAGCAGAAGCGATGTGGATTCTTGTTGCGTGTAACAATGCCTGAAATACTAAGCAGTCGATTGTTGAAATGTGTTCAGGCCATATGAAGCCCCTCGTTGCCGCTCCATTTAGTGTGTTGGGTTTATGTCATTAGGCAGTTTGGGTGTTGAGTTGTGCCCTTATTGCTCCTAGAGGCGAGGCTGTGTTGTTATGGAACACCAAGCACCTGAACATTGCCTAGTGAGCTGGCCTGCCTCGCGTTTGTCATTCCAGCATGGTTACAGTCTGTTCAGTATATTGGCTTTCAAACCAACTTCGTATTATTAAATGAAAGAAGCGAACAAAAATATTGATTGAAACTTAAAAGACTGGGAATTAAGTTTTTCCAATGCAGTGAAAAATATATAAGTAGTTGTTTTCCCAAATCAGTCTTATATTATTGAATTTATAAATATTGAGTGATGCTCAAATCATACATTTCAATTCTACCATAGGAATTGGAAAGGTTTGTTATGAACCAGTTTCTGATTTCTAACAGCGTTGAGCTGTATTTGATGATCCAAATCATTTGGATGACACTCAACAGGGATACTTAGAGGAAAATATAACAAATGCATACAGAACTGGGTATTGTACTGAGGAAACATTGTTCTTTTGAAGACACTAGGATGTAAGAATTTCAAGAAAATTTACCAGTTGATTTGACAGTACTGTGTTCCATAACTGGAAGGATGGATCCATGTTACATCAGTTCCTCTTCTGACTGCTTGAGAAATAGTTTTGCAGTTTTTCTTTGACACAACATCCTTCTCTTATATTGTTAATTTGTTGACCATCGGATAATGTTGTTAACACATAATCTCATTGCATTACAAAAAGCACACTGCTTCTTTACCGAGTGTTCAAATTTGATTTTCCCAAACAGGGCTGAATACAGGCATCTCTCTCTCCAAACATTCCACATAACAGAATGATCCGCAAAGAACAGAATGTCTACAGTTTTGAATAGGTTTAATGATATAAATGGATAAATATATATATATTATTATATAAATATTACAATATGGATGTTAGTGTTTATAATATGTACAGACATGTTTTTTCTCTGTTACTTATTTGCTAAACTCAGGTTTTGCTTTAAATAATAATAATAACAATTACCTCATGAGTTTTCCGGAATGGAAACTCACACAACACAGCTACTTCCCCACCTCTGTGGATCAACTAATGCTTTGGAGAAGTGATTACTGTTGTATCAGCCTGGACTGAATGTGGGTATTCTCCAAGTCACTTCCTAATAGAAAAAGGAATGTTTTTGTTAACTTTTCTAAAGCTTGTTTTGAGTGGCTTCTAATTATATTTTTGCATTAGTTTTTCAATTGCTGACAACTTCCCCTTTTTTATGCTTGAGGCAGGATTTTTATTGTTGATTTACAGTCTTCGTTCTAGAAGAAGCAGAGTGCTTTTTATCATCGAGTATCAATTATGACGAAGATTAAATTTATTTTTTCATTAGCAGTACTATCAGTACTGCTGCATGTTTTATCCTTAAGAGATATCTTAGTGGCAGGTTGGTTAGGTGCCTTGGCTTTCCAACTGCCACAGATTTCTGGGTGTGGTTTTGGCCCCCAATTTAATTTGACTCCCATTTTGAATATTTTGTATGCATGCAAAACTAAGAATCCTTTTGTCTCATGCCAGAACCATTCACTACCTCAAAAAAAATAGACTTTGTTGTTCAAGCATTTGAGATATGAAAACAGCCGTGTGCCACGAGGACAGCTAAGCAGTGCCTCACAGAACAGGAAGGAATTTCTGTACCCTGGTTCACTTCGGTGTGAACGTGATGAAACGGGCCGGTGGAGATTTGAAAGTAACAATAAAGCCAATGAACCACCATATTGGCACTGAAAGTCTACCCCAGACCACTCCACATGTTGATCGACTGGTTTATTTTCCTCATTTGTGTTATTTTTTTTATTTTATTGAAATATTTTCTGAGCTCAGTTATGTTTTCAATACGACTTTGTTCCCATTATAATTTTGTCTGTTTCATTCAGTAGAAGGGTTTATAGTTTTCATAATCACCAATACTTACCTGTATGTCATTAATATCTTTCTTATCTATTTTACAGCATTGCGTATGCAATGTCAGCCAAGAACTTTCCTTGTCTGTGTTATATACATGCATTTCAAAATTTCTGACCATTAGAATAACTGTGTTGAATTTAATTTGTTGGGGTGGTAATATTGAAAAATTTCATAGATGAATATGGTATTATGAATATTTTTTGTTGTTTGCATTATAATTCAGTGAAATTGAACATGGAAACTTTTTTCACAAGATTTTTTTGATGTAGTTGGGCTTGCTAGTAATGAAAGAAGTTTAGGTGTAGATTTCTTCAGTGGAGAGTGTTTCTTTAGTTTCAGTACGTTGATTTGTTGGAAGACTTGCAGCGCAACTAGGAGGAACAATAAAATGGTATTGACAGTGCCATATGATAAGGTACGAAAGAGCGATGACTCATCGTCGTACAAATTGTTCTCAGGTATAATCAGGTTACTTTAAATAAGAACTTCTTTCTCATAGACACAGTAGCACCCAAATTTTTGTGCATTACTAACGTGAAGTTTAAAATGATGAAAGAGTGGTAACTTTTTTCAGTTGTCCTTCCCACTACAGCTCATTTTGTTTTAAGGCACTCAGCTGTTTTATTTTGAAAAGAAAATATGTTGAGAATTCATTATGTTGTCTAATGAGTTTGTGTGGAGTGCAGTCTCCAACATATCACAACAAGCTCTCATTGAAAACCAATAGACCCTATTATTATTGTTGTTGGTACTAGGAATTTGATTGTAAAAAGATGTATTGCAAACAACAAAACAGCAAAAAAAATGCTTATTTATAATGTGCTGTAATACACAACAGTATAGTATCGTTTATGTTCTGCTGTTTCTGTAACAAACTGATGGTATTTGTCAAATAGCAGTTTGAAACAAAGGTGTTGATTATCATTTTTCATTCTGATTATTTTCTGTCATTCAGAATCTTGGTAATATTAACTTATCTCTAATATCTCTTCTTGTTTAAAGTAAGGTTTTTTTTAACTTGACCATGGCCTAACTTGCCATTAGATTGTATCACAGAAATTAGAAATACGAGTGTTTGGCTTTTTTTTTTAAAGCTTGATGTTGCAGTCTGATACTTAAAGAAGTTAAGTGTTTTTATTTTTGGCCAGGAGAGCATGTAGCATGTTGTTTTGTGGCAAGTTAGGCCTTCACTTAGTGTTTCAAATTCAGGTGAAAATAAAAACAAGGTGCTGTGAATGCAAGGTTGCAGCGTCTCCTTGCATTTAGTCTAATGTGAGGAATTTACTGCGTCCAGGTTTGTCTTAACCCTGGAAGAAGGGCATTACAGTGTACGTGTATATTGCTTGATATGATCACTTGTGTAGCTGTGAAACACCCATCCATGTTTGAGTGTGGATCAGGGATCTATAAGAGATGTAATTTTGCAGCAACATGGAAGTGATATGATTGTTTGTTGTTATAAGGGTACCATGGCATATTGATGTTTATATAGTGCTGGCTCCATCCTAGCATCCACACAATCAAATCCATTCTTAGGTGGGTTTGATGGCATACGCACCCTACCACATTACTGCCGACAGATCTGGGATTTAAATTGTGCATCTACCTCAATAGATTTTACAATTACCTCATAAACCCACTGGACCCTGCCAGGAGTTGCGTTAGAGCGTACTGACAAAAGCTTTTAAGCTTGTCATTTCTATTTGTTTTTTTATGATCCTTGCATAACAGGCATGATGTGCATTCTAGATCACTTCTCATGCGATTGATTATTGTTATGGATCGTAACTTCCAGACGAGAAAAGCGTGCCGTCGTATATGCACCGCTATGTCTGAAGCAAGGGATTAAAAATTAATTACCATGCCCCCTTCCCCAGAGTATATGAATGTATACAGTTTGATGCTGATATTTCTGGGGGGAAACTTAAAAAAAAAATTCCTCACATTCTCACCTACAAAAAAAAGTTGTCCACAGAATCCTGATATTTACCCTGTTTTTAATCTATATCATTATCCTCACATGGTAGTAATTATGGTTTCCTGTTCATAAGAGAAACTTTTCAAGCAGAGAGTTGGCTCGATTGAAGATGCTGCATTGTGTTGAATTATGCAGATGCACAGAAAGAATTTTTTTCCAAATTCCTAGTAATTAATCACCCCTAAGCACTTTCTGGTGACGCTTCTCGATCCAAATTAGTATTCAATTGAATCCAAACATGGTTAACGAATTGTTTCAGAAATTAAGTAAACGTTTTCAAATGGACAAGTGTGGAATGTGGCTTGGGTTTGATACAATGTCGGTTATTCAATCGTAGTTACTCTCAAAAGAACGCAAGCTTTCATATGTAATAATTCAATTATAATCTTTGTCATTCATTGGCTTCAGTGCCTGAAAATAAAGCATGTTTTTATTTTTCCCTTTACAATCGAGAGTAAAGCAGTCCATAACCAAGTTAGCCTCAACCACAGAGGCGCCTGCAATAGAAACAAGATAACATAAAGGGGTGGTTAGAGGCTAGGTTTGAGACAAAAGCTGCACATTGGCACTTGAATGATTGAATTGTATAAGTATTTTGTAATTAGTTCAACAAAAAGGGATTATACATTGTACAAGTGCAAATATGTGGTCCATGCAAGCATGCATTCTCCGTTTTCTACCATGAAAAAAATTAAATTATTCTAGTTAAAAAAGCTTTGTTCATTTAAGTGAATAGTCCTGACATCATTCAACTGATTCCTTACGTCCTTACAATTGGTAAAGTTCCTATTTAGTATGCAAGCATGCTAATGAAAATTGATTTTTGTATGTTTGGGTGATTTAATAAGTGCTGTCTTGATTTATTTCAGCTTTATAAGTGCCAATAAGGCAAGCTCCGATATGGCGATATATATACATGCCATTATTTATTAATGGCCTGCCATTCCTGTAGACAAAAAACACGTGTGTTTAAAAATGGTATGCCACTGAAGTATAGTAATTAGATCCATCATCTGCAGTCCCCCCCCCCCCC